TGGACAGAGACCTCTGATTCCAGGGAAAACATCAGAGGGCTCTGTCCAGAAGAGCGCAGTCCTAGGAACAGCTAAGATACTGCGCAGAACCCTCAAACTCCCAGGCCTCTGGTAGAGGACCCGAGCTTGAGGATGACACATACCACCCCACGAGGGGTGAGAAAACAGTTTTTTTTTTTAAATATATATATATTGCATATATATATTGCATATATATATATATATATATATATATATATATTGCATAGGCCTTGCCTTGGAAGTTTAATCCCATCATAGTCGGAACATGATCTCCAGTCCCCTATTTTATTAAGAGGAACCACCAGCCCAGTCTGCCAGTTCAGTTGCACTGTCCCCAAAATCCACACAATGTTAAAGAATCATATCAACCATGACAGCACCAACAACATCCAGAGCTCTTTGCTACTCTGAGGGATCTCATGTACCCCCGAGCCTTGCCATGGTGGAGCTTTTGGATCACCTTGGAGACTTTAGCCTGGATGATGAATTAATCCAGCTCCAAGGGCCCCACCACTGAAGGTGTCAGTAGGATTGACGAGACCATTCAAGTATTCCGCCCACCGTCCAATGATGTCTTCTTTCAAGGTCAGCAGCTCTCCACTCCCACAGAAAAAAAGTGTTAAGCAAAGCACTTAGGTGCCAGACAGTTTGCCAGAATAGCTTTAAAGCCATAGGATAGTTTTCTCCATAGACTCTCAAAACTCCTCCCAAACCAGAGATTATGTCTCCGCAATCGCCAGGGCAGTGGTACACTTAGCCACATGATACCTGCTTGCTGCTTCAGGAATCCCACAAGCCGACCAAGCCGAATAGGACAGTTTCTTCATCTTGACAGCATCATTTACTGCTGGAGTCCACCACCAGGTTTGGGGATTGCCCCATCGACAGGCACTGCAGCCCCTATGGCAACAGCTATGGGCGGCCACCTAAGTCGGGCTTACACTGCAATTTTTTGCCCTTTTTGGGGCGACTTTCCAGATGTAAACACAGAAGCATCGTGGGGGTGCAATGAGTGAAATTGAGTTCTTTCTGTAAAATTGACAGGCCGTAGTAGCCACGTTTGCTCAGCCATGTCTTTGTCCAAATACGTCGTTGCCTTTTCTTTTTAGGGATTTCAGCTCAAAATTGCACAAATTGCCAAGGCAGCACGTTTCACTCTAGTGAGCTTCATATTCCTCTTCTACTCGTTTGGCTTCTGGATAAATGGTTCAAAGTCCATCTCACTGCGGAGCTAAGTCCGACGTGGTTTTTAGACGTAGTGTGAGCAGGTGGATCAGAACGTCATGCTGCACATGCATCATGAGCTGTTAATTCACACTGAACGATGAAACCCTGCAGTTTCATCGTTCAGTGTGAGCTGTAGCTGCGTGTTACGATTGAAAAAATCCCACAGTGTATGCCCGGCTTTAGGCAGTGGGGACAGAGAAAATGGCCCACTCAGACTCAATGTCTCCAGCCACCACTGGGGTCTGGGAGATGACCTCCCCGAGAAGAGGATTTGAACACGTCCTTGACTGAGGGCTCTGCTCTTCTCTTGCCTTGGCCAGAATAAACTCAGAATCAGTCTACCCAGCACAGAAACTTTGTTGAATTTTAACATATATGTCACTTACAGAGAGAGAGAGTAGTCAGATCTCAGCTCAGCTCAGTGTACAACAAATAAATAAATAAAGACACAAAAAACAAAACAAGAATAATCTTTAATGCAAAGGGTTAGACAAATTAAGAACAGCAACTCAAAGATGTTTCCTTAACTTGTTTTGAAAAAATGTCCAGTGCAACAGGAAAGAGACAATATATCAAATGTAGAGAACAGGTGACAGCATAACCACAACAGGAAACGAGGCATTGCAAATCTACAGCTAGCACCATGTGGCTATACTTTCAAATGTCATTTGATCAGTTGGTTTACTTTTGTTGCCACAACCACAGAGGAAGAGGAGGGTTTTATTCTTAGTGTCGGAAAATATTTATCAGAGCTCTGAGAGACACAATGAAGGAAACAACTGTCAGATTTCTGCTCAGTAAGTAGAGATTCTTTCTGAACATTTCCTGGGTTTCTGTAGATAACTGATGATGGAGGAGAGGCTGGGAAACAGCCTGGAACTGGGTTAAAACACACTGAGGAGAAGTTCTACTGGAATCTGAAGAGAACAGATGAAACCTAGAAAATATTAATAGAACTTTGGGACAGAGAGCTATTTACTACCTGCTGGAACAACATTTACAGTAATAGTCTGAATGGAAACTATCTGAGGTGTAAAACTGTCTTTATGGGAGAAATGATAAAGTTTTTAGTTCAAAGTGATTTTTCTTCTCTTTTAAGTTCTGACATCAATGCTGGGCTGCACAACAAACCAAGGTTGGTTCACTTCCTGTTAGACACTCAAATGCTTCGACGAAGCATGCAAAGCTATTGTAAAGCTAATCAATAATTGGCTGGTTTCTCAAACACTTGTTTTTAAAATTCACAATTTTGGATCTTTGTAAATTTGATTTAACAATGAGTTTTTCATTCCAGGAGCTAGTTTTACTGTGAGTCCCAACAGATCTCAGTTCTTTGAAGAAGATTTTGTTACTCTCAGCTGTGTGGAGGACAATGGCTCTGCTGGATGGACTGTATGGAGGAATACAACCTGGGAAACAAGGACTCAGTGCACCGACGGATGGGGGAAACCAGCTGGTTCTACCTGTAACATGACCTTCTTGTTCCCATCAGACAGTGGAGTTTACTGGTGTTCCTCCAGAGAGGGAGCAGCCAGCAGCAGCATCAACCTCACTGTCACTGGTAAGATCAGACTGTGGAGTTAATGTTGATGAAGCTGTGTGGAAATGGATGAAATGCTGTAGTTTGTCTCTGTGTTGAGGTGGATCAGTGATCCTGCAGAGTCCTGTCCTCCCTGTGATGGAGGGAGATNTGTAGTTTGTCTCTGTGTTGAGGTGGATCAGTGATCCTGCAGAGTCCTGTCCTCCCTGTGATGGAGGGAGATGACGTCACTCTGAGCTGTCTAACAAAGAACACTCCCTCCAACCTCCCAGCTGCTTTCTATAAAGACAAGGTCTTCATTGGCAAAGAAACTTCAGGCAATATCACCCTCCACCATGTGACCAGCTCTGATGAAGGCCTCTACAGTTGTAGCATCAGTGGTCATGGAGAGTCTCCATCCAGCTGGATCTCTGTTAAAGGTTATTTTAACACTAATAACAAAATCACCGTCCATGTTTATTTCTCTCTACATGTAAATGAAAAGCTCCACCCACATTTATAACTCTCTGTATATCAACAGTTCTTGAAAGCACTCCAGACCAGATTCTTTCTTCAGCTTCCTCGAAGCTTCATGTTTTCATTCACCTGGTTGTGTTTTGTCCCTACCTGATCACCACTCTTCTGATGCTATCTATATATCAGCAAAAAAACACAGGTAACAGTTAATACATTGACCCGTTTACTGCTTTATAAAGTTGGCTTGAAGCATTTAGGTTAAGGTAATTACTCATTTGTTATTAATTATAACCTGCAGGACATGATCTACACACCTCAGTGGTTACGACCTCTTCCTCTGAAGCTGAATAAGGATTGAATGATCTGTGTGATTATGTAATAATTGTTGTCACATCAAAGTATCTCGCCTTTTTCTTTTATTTAGAGATTTCCGCATAAATAAGACTGGAATACTGGCAGGTTTTGAAAGGAGAATAGGTAATATTACACAGCTCTGAACAACTTCATGTGTTAATTTTGAAGGAGATAAAGATCCACTTTGACTGTCAATCGAGGAGAAACTAGCAGTTCATAGATTATAAGGAAACATTTCTGGACAGAAACCAGCTTTTATTGTGTTTTTCATGTCTTTCAATTTATGAAATTTGATGTTATACTGTATGTTAGAAGCCCATGATTATCCTGCTCTATCTGCTTTGTGCTTGTTACATTTGTTGTTGGGGAACCAAAAATGTTTACTACAGAACTTATAAAGAAGAAAAGGTTGTGACGTGCATATTTATCTGTATGTCCTAATAAATCATATGCATTATAAAGATCAGTATACTATTAAACCTGTTTTGCTCAGGGTGAGTTTGAAAAGTAAGTCTAAGTGGAGAATGGTGTGTTCAACATATTGAAACCACACCCTGCTGTTGGTCACATTTACTTCACCAGATTTTGGGGCAGCCTTAAGCCTGGGTTATGTTTGAAACTATGCATGTCCATAGCTTTTAAACTCGTTGCTGCTTTTTTCATGTAGCAGATATTCAGGACCACTCTTGGGGTCAGTGCAGGACACAGACCTGTAGAAATACAGATTCTACTTCTATAGATTTCCGATTACATATTTTGGACCCAGTGGATTCCGGTCTGGTACCTGTCAGTGGTCAAGTATTCCAGCTTGTGGACGGTGCTCTCCTTGCCCATGTAGACACAGGGTGTATGAACGTTTACCACAAAGCTGCTGGTATTTTTATTCTCCATGGACGTTGTGTCCAGGAGGCGGAATAGTGACTGTTTTTAAAAGTTGTTTTACCTGCAAACAGTTATCTACAGGCTCTTTTAGCGGCTTTGAGCTCAGCCTATTCAAACTTGGCAGCTCTAATGCTGTTCTAAGTGCTTTGGTCTAGCGGCTACCGAAGTACAATAAAAACTTATTTAAGAACATTTCAGATTGTTTTGTGGATGTTATGCCAAAGTATGAGAGAGTTCTATTTCATCCTTACTGACCACCAGAGGTTAGTGCTAAAAGCACTGAATATTCCCTTTGGGCATTTGCAATTTGAGTAATTATATCAACAGAGTAACATCTGTGACACTCTGGATGACCACTCAGAGGCTATAGTAATGTCATCCAGGGCTCTGTTCCCTTATTCTTCTCACAATTGGTCTGCTATATGCAATTGCTTCCCCATTGTTTGATGCCCCTGTCTGGCTCACTGGAGTTGCGTTCTTTCTCTGCCCTCCCAGGGTTGCAATTGGTTGATCTGCTTGAGGATTTCGTAAGGTAAGTCCGCTGTTAATTGGTAATGGTAGAATCTATGTCCCCCTCTCCCAAATTATGGCTTCTCGTTGCCGTGTTGTGGTACTACTGCGGCTTGGTGCTGTTTTCGTTGAAAACTGGTGATGGTTTATTGGTTTTATACCTGGTGATGGCAGGGTTTCGCCCCCCTCTCCCAATATTAGTCTCTTTTTTTGGTCTGCTCCGCTATAACTTGTGATTTTTGTTTGTTTTTCATTTGTCAACTGGTCTGAGCCCTGTTGACCTTTGACATGGATGGCTCCCACTGCTGCGTGGATTGTGGGGCTTTCCCCAAGGCAGAGGATTGTCGTGACTTGTGCCCTACCTGCCTTGGATATGAGCACCTTGTGGAGGCGCTGTCTGATAATCCCTGCAGGAATTGTTGTGCCCCCAGGATGGCTCTAACCCTCTACCCTCTAGGTAGGTGGCTCCCCCAGACATTCTAAGCACCATGGTGGGACAAAGGTCTTGGTGCCCCCCTCTAGCAGGAAACGGGCCAAGCTTGATCAGGGCATGGCCACAAGGGTAGAACTGTTGTCGGCGGAATTGGCAGAGATTAAGTCCTTGTTGTAGAAATGTCTGTCTGATGCCTCACTTTCAGTGGCTGGGCTGCCTTCCCCAACCATGCCTGGTCTGGTTGCGGAGGAGGACGTCTTATCTCTGGCTGCTTCTACTTCTCATTTTAAAGATGAGGAGAAGGAAGGGTCCTTTCAAGCCTCTAAGACCAGGTCATTATTATCTCAGAGTGCGGTCGGGGAGGCTGGTGACAGTTCCATGCGGGATGTCATGTCTATGACTCTGAAGCAGCTGCAGCTGGAACTCCCACAAGGAGAGGTGTTTGAAATTAAATGAAATAACAGCTGTTCTACCAAACCCTTTGTTATCTGTATATTTGAATGTACTTATGCAAGAAAAATAAACAACACAGTGGTTATGTTACAATTTAATATGTGATCAATATTAACCTCAACATGAACAGCCCCCTCTCTGCCACCGATTGGGTCACTGATTCTCATGCCTACATTTGACCAAAGTAATCAGTAAAAGCAATGATTAATAGCGTGAGTCCTGGACTCCAACAGTGGATGTCACATCTCTTTAAGACCAATAATGCTGGGTTAAATTACTGTGATGTGAGCAGACTAAATCCTCCAATGTTATGCCTCATTAAAACCAACAGCAGCAACCCCACCGGCCTCTTAGGCTGCTTTGGTCTGGAAGTGAGAGGAACCATTTGACGTGAAGCCCTGTCTTTTGAAATGTGGTGGTGAACCCAAAACTTTATCCTGCCTGCAATTCAGAAGGATCTGGACACAGTGTTTACCTCCCAAATTCTGTGTGCTGTGAAATACATGAGAAACCAGCAGTTTTTTCATCTGCGTTTCGATCACACTCTCTTGCTGCTGTCTCTGAGACAGGGCCCAACTCCTAGATGCTGGACCAGACTGAACTGAACACCAACCCCCACAGCAACAACACCCTGTCACGTGCTTGGGATTTCACCGGGTCGGTAGATAAGGTAGTTTTTGCATGTATTGTATTGAAAAGCTTGATCTTGAAACCTAATGGTTTTAATCAAAAACTGGTTCAGAACTGAACACTGACTTCATGAAATGTGTGTGAATGAGCGTGTGAATGGCTGCAAAAGTTGATTTTCTCTTTTCCTCTTTGACCTGTAGGAAGGGTGAGTGGTTCACATCATTAGCCTCTTTTTAGGCCAGGAGTGTATAGAGGCGGCCATTTTGTCAGTTTAATGATCCATTGTTCTCCCCCAACACTGTTGGCTAGGCTATCTCATTTTAACCACATGGTATACAGGCAACACCTTTGTGAGATTTAAAACCCTTTGTCGTAGCGGAGTCCCGCCTTGTAGGTGGATTTCGTAATGTTATCTGAGCTAGCGCATTTTGCTACTGTGCTGCTACTTTTTAATGCATTTGTGAATCATTGTCACTGTAAACCAAATGAAGCAACATTTTTGATAGCAGCTAAGATCTCCGCATCAGTTCTTATTCACATGTACCTGCTGCTGCTTTAAAAGGATACCACCGAATTAGGGTGCATTCATTGCACCCTACCTAAAAAGTTGTTGAATGGACTTACTTCCCTCGTCTTCCCTTTTTATAAGCTTTCCTTTTACCTTGTACTTATTTTCAGTAGTGTGTAGTATTTGTATAGATATTAGATACACTGTAATAGGGATTATTAGCAAATAAAGATATCAATATTTTAAACTGTAGCTGTTTGTGGTTATTTGTTCAGTGAACGATTCATCACTCAGGTGAGATCCATCCTTCTTTTTCCACCATTTGAATAAACAGAGATAACTTATTTGGTTGGAGATTAATAACTCTTCTGATAACCATATATAATTACTAAAGCAATAAAAAGCAATTAGATTTTAACAGCTGATCCAGAGATCCAACCTTGGGTAGAAGAATAAGGAACCCCAGTGAGTAAGCACACTTTAGTCATAATCGTTTATCTAAGGACCAAAAATAGGAATCAAATGGGGATATTCGCCTCAGGTATCTGCAGCAATACAAAAACATATGCGTCTATCTTTTAAAAAAACAGGAACACCGGGTTGCACCTCTAGCTCCTTGATGGTTCAATGATTCCCAGTGACAGCATCAGATAAACCTTCTTCTTCAGCGTAACCAGCAGACACTAAGGCATTCTGCGATACATTAATCTCATAGAGGTTCCCTCTTTTGGCATAATATCATGCTTTATAATGTAAGTTTTACCAGGGCTCAGGAATACCTCATTCAGTTCAATAGATTTCTCACCTTAGTCTGCTTTCCACCAGAGAGGTGGGTGAAGTCTAGGTCTTCAGTAGTGGGTGCTGGTAGAAACTGCTCCTTCCATCCTTAATCCATTCTCTCCTCCTCTCCTTGCTCTGCTAGAGCATGGCTGTTGTGGAATGGCCACCTGGTACATGGTCTCTCCGATTTTCTGCTTGATTTCATATGGCCCATACCACTTCGCTAGCAGGATCAGCACGTTCTGACCAGGACTGAAGAACCTCTGCCTGGCTGACTGGTCATACCAGGCCTTCTAGTGCTGTTATTCTTGGGCCAAATTAGCTAACACCATTTTGGTTGTCTTTTTCCAACAACTCACGCATCTCATGGCAGAAAAACTTTACTTGGGGCCTTGCTTAAGGGCCAGGGCTGTCCTCACTCGAGGGTCACGGTCCTGCAGGTTTTAGAGGTCTCCATTGATTACTGATTATTTGGCCTTTTACTTAAATGCAATCACAAGAGCAGGGAAGCCTCTGAAACGTGCAGGACAGCAACCCTTGAGAACCAACTTTGGACAGGCCTACTATGGGCAAAGAGGAGAAATGGTAGTCATGTATTTCGGTAGCCCATTTCATTGACAACTTACAGTATCCAGCATCTTTTCAAAGTGTGGTTAAATTTTTCAGTGGGGCCTTACGCCTAAGGAAGATACTGAGTAGTCCAGAAGCTTATTATAAGCAGATGAAGAGAAAAATTATGCTTTTGGAACCATTTGTGATCCTGGAATTGTTACAGGTTATTAAATGAAGGACAAAGGAGCCTTAAACCACACTTACAATAAAGCAGCCTCTGATTGTTACGTATGCCGATATATGCTAATCATAAGGAAATTGCTAAAAAGAAATCAAAAGTTTATCATTAAAGCAAAAAGCTTTGTACTGCAACAGGTTACTGAAGTGAAATTACTTAGTAGCATAATGGACCTGTACTGACCATGGTCACATCATGCAATAATTAAATTTGGCAAAGGTAATGGTTATTGCTTTTAAGTAAAGTCATTTTAACTAAAACACCAGAATGCTTTTATGAAAAACGTATTTATTCTAATGAGACACAAATTTCACCAGAAATCCTTTGATGATGTGATGTAGGCCTCGGACTGATCATTCCTATAGACCCAAACCACACAATGAACAAAAAAGACATCACTAGCTGCATTTCCATTAACAATCTTATTGCAAAAATTTAAAAACAAAAATGTATTTGTTCAATGTAAACACTGTCATTTTGAATAACACACATTTTTCTTTCTATAAAAAATTGTTAATGTTTGATGAGGTAGTTTTTTTTTGGTCACCTTCAAATTTTTATATTATTGAAAACTGCAAATGAAATGTTTTTTGTGTATTAAACAAGGTACTAGACCTTAGTTCTAGATTGTGTAAAAAGATGAATAAAACCAGAAGTAGCTGGAGGACGATGGCGCCCCCTAGAGCAGTGGATGAAATTGGGATATATCTAAAGTGTTTACATCTGCCACTCCAATGTTTTTTTCAGAGTTACTGCGTGCACAAATGTATTCACGTGAAATTTTAAATACATTTATTATGTAATGGAAATACTTTAATTGAGAAACTTTGAATTTTTGAAATTTTTAGAATATCAGCATAGTTTGGTGCACATTTGTAATGAAAGTACAGCTGCTGATGAGGCACCACAGCTCATCAAATGAAGAGCTGTAGGAGGGGCTGCTGGTATTTAGATCTGTTAGTTGGATCTAAACACCATTTTCAATCTCATTAGCCAGAGGAGTCTTCTTCTTCTTCCAGACAATAATTGCGGCCACAGTAAGAGCAGCAGCAGCCACCAGCACAGCAATCAGTCCAAATCGTCCTCTACCTGTAGAACAGAACCAGTTGTTAGTCTGACCCATCAGGTAGGAGATGACTGAAGAACATCATCTACTGCTCTGAGACCAGCTGATTCTACAGAGTCAGATCAGCAAAACACCAACATCTGGTCTGAGATAAACGGATGAGAAAATAATGGATCAAATCAATAAATTTTTGTTTTACATTATTTTCCATATATATTTTTTTATTACTATTGGAAAAACTAAAGCTCAATAAACAAAAACAGATTCTCTACTTTTTTAGATTTAAAACATATTTTTATTTCCAACTTTGTTGATTTTATCTGTTATTTATATTTATATTCTGATGGTTTCTTTTTCTAGTAGTTAAAATTGTGACATAAGAGCAGAAGCATCTTGTGGACCATCAGAGTTTTGCTGTTCAGACATTAGAACCACTAAAGTCCACAGATGCTCCATCAGCAGGAGGATCTGGGACCTCTGGCTTCAATGAGCAGATTTTACAGAAATGATGACACCAATAAATCAAAGTAGAGTAAATGTAGATCACCTGCTGGTCCATCAGAACCATCCTTGTTCTCTCCTTCCTCATGTTGTTTTCTATTGTTCCCTGTAGAATAGAACCAGGTGTTAGTCTGATCCATCAGGTAGACCAGCTGATTCTACTGAGTCTGATCATCAACATCATTAGGAAACATCAACATCTGATCTTAGATGTTTCTACCATCCAGAACCAGGAAGCTGCTTAAGGTTCTGATCCAGAGACAGGCTCACCTGGAGGATCTACATGCAGGTGGATGTTGATCTCTAGGCTGCCCTCCTTTGTTACGGCCTTGCACCTATATGTCCCATTGTCTTCCTTTGTCACATTGCTTAAAGTCACATTGACTTCTCCATCAGCAGTAGAAAGGCTCTGCAGGCTGATTCGACCCTTAAACTGGGGATTGAGGCTCTTTTCATTGATCTTTCCATTCCTGTATACAAACCCTTCTTTTTGTTCTTTCGGGTCATCTCGGGTCAGGCTTAACACTGTGACCAGGCTGTTTTTAGTAGCTCTACATGTCAGATTGATGTTCTGTCCTGGTTCTGCTGTGATGTTGACCACATCTGTAGGAGAAGAACAAAGACAGGATAGAAAGGTTAAAGAAATACAGAGAAGCAGGGATGGAGTCAGAGGAACCGTCTGTAGCTCTCAGAGAGGATCTAATCTGGAGAAGGATCCAGAACATTTCTGCTGCTCTAGAGGTCCCAGTAAACCCAGTGACCTTTATTAATGGGAGAAGGTTGGTGCCAGCAGGACTCTACCTAGAGCTGGAGACCTGCCTAAACTGACCAATCAGAAGAGAAGGACCTTAGTGAGGCAGGAGGCCCCCTTTGTCTCTCTGTCAGAGCTTCAATGTTCCTCTGTGGAGAGAGAAGAACCTTCCAGAAGGAAAACCATCTCTGCAGAAATCCCCCAATCAGACCTTTATGGTGCAGCAGCCAGAACAAAGCTGCTGCTTATTAAAACATGTTAAAAACAGGAACATTATCAAATGTTTTGCAGTTGCAAGATGTGACTGTTAGACTAATCCTTTTAGCAGAAATTTATTATTTTAACAATTAATTCCACCTTAGAAAGACATGGGAGGGCTAGGGATAAATCCACTAGAAATCTCAATAGGGTTTTATTAAATCAACTGTAACAGTTCCAATGGGTTTGAATATCAGTATTCAACCCATTTAATAATTATTCAATGGACATCAGCTGTAAAGACTAAATAAATACAGAAATCATATAAACATGATGTAAAAGATAAACATAAGCACAGGAGCGTCAGCGCTCACCCATTGGGTGTGAGACTAATGGATTCACACGCTCACACTACATACTCCTAATTTTTCATGCTAAAAAATGATGGACATTTAATAAAAAAAAATGCACAAAAACTCCATTCCACTAATTTCTATATAGAAATACTATGCTGATAAAAATCCAGTCTGCGTTTTCAATGCAACCTTGAGGACATGCCAGGTTCATACCTTTTCCACCTATTCATTGTGCTGACAGCACCCAAGCTAAAGTGCCTACACAAAAAATTTACAAAGATATATAACACAGATTAATATTTATGAGGGTTAATACACGCTAAAAACTGTTTGACATTGTTTTCAAAAATCCAAACTGAATCAGATAAATGCCGTCTTTGCAAAGCAGTGTTTTAGGATCAATGCTGCTTCCTCTTTCAATAATTTTAGCTTTTCTTTAACCTAAAGGCAGTAATCCTGTTTTTATTTAGAGCAGATGCAGAACCAAACACTTCTGACAATCACTGAAACACTGCGAGGATTAAGAGAACCCACCTTGAGCTGATAACACAGGAGATATCCAGAAAACAAGTAAGAATGGGAATAAATGAAGAACATCCATGTCACTTAGATCCAGAAACTCAGCTACAATCTCCTCCCGCTGGGACAAATCTCTGCGCAGGTTAAACTTCTGCTAGCGACTGGTTATCTGTCGCTCACAAAGGTTTGTTCTAATAGCCGTTCCTTGTTTAGAGCTGTCTAGTTTGTTTTCTACTTAGACACCACATGGAGATTCAAGGAGGAA